GATTTATGTATGCTATATGGGGGTTATTCATATGTGTAGCAGCAATATTTCTTACATGCTTACAGCAGCAAGTTGTGGATGTATTGGCAGTAGCAAGTCTCGGTACTTGCACTGCCGCAGCAGCAGCAGCGTAGCAGATCTATTCCGCCAAGACCAAATACATTAACATTGTCATGTACATTACCATGCCAATCCCTCTGAGAGTTGTCATGACAGAACTGCCACTATAAATCACAAGCCTTTAAATGAAACATCGAATGAAAAATCAGTTTTAGTCAGAGGTTCCCAAACAAAATAAATAATATAGCCTATACATTAAATAAAACAAATAAATAAAATATATAGGCTAACAGCACACTGAAACACTACAAAAATATGGGCAATTATAACTGACCGTCTCTATTGTAGTTTTTCCTTCGATCTCATTTTTTTTCATATTATGAGAAAGGAACACAAGTTTGTCAACGTTGTTGGGAAGAAGTGAGCTCCGTGTCTTATTCACAATGAACCTGGCCTTCGAGAAAATGCACTCTGATGGAGTAGATGTGGAAATAATGGAGTGCAGGCACTTAGCAGCTCTAGCAAGCTTGGGATACCGCTCCTCATTTTTTTTGCCACCATGTCAGTGGCCCAGAATCAACCTTTGTTTTGTACTCCAAGTACATTTTTCATTTCATCCATCCATCCTTCATTGCATGACAGTACCCCAGCATGGGTTATCAGAAAGTAGTTCTGCGCACAGCACCATATTAGCAGCATTGTTGTGTACGACTGCTACCCTCTTTTCTCCGCTCTGATATGTTGGCAGCTGTGTGGCTCACCTCCAACACTGTTGTTTCCAACACAAATTAATGCAGTCGCCAGTCTTCAGAAATAAAGTGTGCAGTGACGGTCATGTAAGCTTCCATCTGGCTAGAGGTCCATATGTCGGTTGTGAAGCTGAGTGCTGTACAACTTTTAATTTCCTCGAGGACGAATTCTTTCGTTGTGTTGAACTTGCTTGTTATGGCGTGCATGACTGTTTCATGTTTGGGAACACTGTAGCTGGACTCAAGGAATTGAATCATTTGTTTGAAACCCTCACTGCTGATGATGTTGACTGGTCTCATGTCAAGTGCAATGAAGTCTGCTATTTTGTCCGTAATGTCTCTTTTTCGTTTCTCGGTAAGACAGGGTTTCATGTCAAGAGTTTACTGAGTCAGGGTCGGCTGCGAAGTTGAAGCTGACGACGTGTCATCTTCGCAGTATAGCGGATGAACCTAGAGAAATGCACGTTAAGTTAAACATTTAACTTTCACTCTCTGTCTGCACAAATACTTGGATACGCGCCTAACTTATATGCGCATATTACCATTAAAATGAGTGGCTATGTTAAGTGGCTAACGTTAGCCTACTAGTCTACTTACATGTTTTAAATGATAAGTCATGTTCGATGTTGACGAATGGTATACAAATGTTTGCCTGCAGAGTTTGCAGACAACTTTTTTGGGGTCATCACTTATCCTTTCAAAATGATCCCACACTTTCGATTTTCTTCCCGACATGATTATTAGCAGGTGGATTTGCCAGGCCCACTGTGTTAACGAGCTCTTCATCGCTAGAACTCTCCAAATCAGCTGGACCGTCTGGGGATGGAGTCTCCATTCTCTGGGGAGTGCAGCTCATGACAGCTCATTTGCCTTACGGTTGTGCAGACCTGGAATATGAATGGCACAAAGGGACCTCAGATGCTTCTGACTCCAGAGGAGGAGGTGGCGGGCGAGTTGCGACATGCGACTGGAGTGTAGATCACCTTGTCGGTTGATGTATGAAACGGTCGCAGTGTTGTCCGTTGCGGACCAGCACATGCTTGCAATATACAGTCAGTAATAATCTTTTCTTAGAAATCCCTTACAACCCAATGCAGAGTTGTGATTCAAGGCTGAGAACCTCCGGTTTAGAGTTTAAACATACCATGAACAACAATATAAGAAACATGTTCTCCCAAGGCAAATTAAAAAGTAAAGAAGTACAGATGTCCAGAGAGGAATATTAATATCCCAGCAATAATTTGTTAATTCTCTTGAGATTTAGACCCAGACATAAACTACACTTAATGGTAAGCACCAATTCACAGTAAAATATAGGTTTGAAAATGTCTGTTGGTTTGGATTCTCAAGATATGTTGCCTACTTATTCTAGCAAGATTTCTGTGGAAGACTAGCTGATGTTTAGGCACATCTTCCTCTGCAATGCTGATTTTTGTGTGCAATAGCCACAAACATGCAATAGCCACAAACATTTCTGTTAGAGTCTTCATCCATTTTCATAAGCCAAGAGAACCACAAACAGACATGCAAAAGGCCCGAACAAGCAAGCTTTTCACACTTCTTTGCTCACTATGAAGTGTCTGCCTCACTAATACTATCCATCAATGTGCACACAGACAAGCACACAGCAAGCAAGGACAGGACATGATTGGAAATTAGTCTCTCTAATGCTTCATGCATAAAAGTCAAAACAGGTGGTAGTTACTTCTGCTGTTTATTATTATTATTATTATTATTATTATTGTTGTTGTTGTTGTTTCTGTTATTGTTATTATTATTATTATTATTATTGTTGTTGTTGTTGTTGTTGTGAATATGAATGGCACAAAGGGACCTCAGATGCTTCTGACTCCAGAGGAGGAGGTGGCGGGCGAGTTGCGACATGCGACTGGAGTGTAGATCACCTTGTCGGTTGATGTATGAAACGGTCGCAGTGTTGTCCGTTGCGGACCAGCACATGCTTGCCTCGTAAGCGCTCTCTGAGACGGTTCAAGGCAACTCTAGGCAGTTGATGTGGCAGTGCAGTTGGGGGCCCGTCCAAACCCCCG